AAATCTTATTTAGACATAGTGCGGTTAACGATCCAGTGACTTTGTCGCCAACTTGAATCCTTTCCATGGAGCGCAGACAGATTTAAATAGGAGGATGGAATGGGGGAGAAAGAGGTTTCTCTAGTCGTGATGCTCGTAGGATGTATCGATCGCCGTTTGCGCCTATGTTTCTTGCCCGCGAGACAAACGAGGAACGGCGAATAATGCCGTGCTCGGCCGCGCGTATACACGAAGCTCCCTGTTTGCCGTCGCCCTCGTCACGAACGTGTAATTTGCACCCTCCCGCCGTTTTCCAAAGTTTAGCGACGAAGAAACATCCAAAAGAGAAAAAAATCTAACACGATGTCGTCGTCAGGTAAAAGACATCACGTTTGCGGAAGCTTTTGAGCGAGCATTGTACCGCAAATTTTGTTTAAAGCTCTCTTTTTTGCTTATCGTTATACGTACATATTTAGAAACGTTAAATTTAAATTTAAAAAAAAATAATAAAAGTTTGCTTTACACAAAAGAGCTTTGAGATGTGACAGAAATATTAATTATTTTGCTAAAAATACAGACCTGTTAAAAAAGAAAGGGGTATTATGCGTGTAACAAGAAATATTATTGAAAATCATACAAAATAAATGTAAATAAAAGAATAAAAAATTTTTTATTCACGCATACTGTTGTCACGATAAAAAAGTAACGATGAATAAAACAACGCGCAAAACGAGGTCAATTTCGCGAGAATTATTGCAGATTTATCTTTCCTACGGTTTTTCTCATTTTCGTCGCTCGACAAAAACGGACTGATCTCGATAATATTTACACGGACTAACAGAAGTGTGAGATTAATGTCCGAAAACTGCTTGGACGGCATACAAGTATAACATGAAACGAGAGACCCATCCTCATGTATTAATTCCGATATAGTCCGTCATTATTCAAGCTCTCGCTGAACTCCAAATATATTATCGAGCGTACGTGATATACACGTGTATGGTGGCCATTCAAATTCCGGTCTTTTGAAAATACAAGTTTCGAGGGTCTATAAGTCACCGAGTAAAGGTTTTAATAGAAATATGTATATGCACACCATTAAAAGTCCTTGAGAAAGTCCTACTTCTTATTCGAATCTACACGATATATAATTTACATTTACACATTTATACTTAGCGCACGAAATAATCATATAATCTTTGTTTGATATAAAAATCACCTTTTTATGATATCGAGAATTGAATCAATAACATCGTATCGTTATACTTTTGAACATTTTTAGTTATAATTATTTTTTAATCATTTTATAAGAAGAAAAAATTGTACTTTCAATTGACGTATTTTATTGTATTTTGTTTCAATTATAATTATTTTTAAAAAAGCATTCGAGGAGAACAAATATTCAATTTCACACATTTTGCTATTCTATTTCTCGATATAATCATACTTAATATTGCGTATAAATAGATACTGGAATATTGTAAATATGATTTTATCGATAAAAAAAGATTCCGATAATTTCTGGAAAAAAAAAAAAAAAAAATAAAAAAAGAATTAGAAGAAACAATCGATACAAATTAAGATGGGACATATCGTAGAACGCATAGCATTGATTTTGCGTAGTCGCTGCGTTCCCATCGAATTAACGATCTGCCTCGTCGTGACAGCTGGCCCTTAACTCCTTGCCATGAAATAACCTGTCACCGGTAACAGGTGCTAGAGGTTTATTGCATCGGTCCTAATGCATTCGCGAGAACGTCGCGTCGCAGCCAGCGACACGCGACGTCTCTGATTCTTCGCGCGCGAGAAAAATGCGCCCGATGGGTCCGCACTGGTGCCATTGAAATATTACGCCCGCTGCAGCAAAATATCTTCGGGAGCACGGTTTTGCACTTCCTTTTGAAATAAGTCGCGTCACCATTGAGCTCGGAAAGCAGAAAGCTAAAAAGCTCGGATGTATGTACGGGAGAGATATAAAAATGCATCTCCCTACGATACTCTCTTGCGTCGAATAAACACATTCGCGCTATATGTACGAAAAAAATACAAATTTATTATCACATTTCTCTGGTGAATGTCGCATCACAAATTCGAAAATCATTAAATTCACGACGAAACATCTATGCGTATATATTATATATATAATATGCGATCTACGTGTGTATATATATATATATATATATATATATATATATATATATATATATGATTGAATAAACATATATTTCTTTATATGTATGAGTATAATAATAATTTCGTAAATTTAAATAAATTGAATATTCTATTTTTATATTGCTATTTATTTTATCCGCGTATTACATTGTTATAAATGATAGCACTCAAATTATTTTATGCTCGATACTACAAGAAAACTGTTTATCCACGCAAATTTAAGTTACCCTAAGAAATTAATTGAACTAATTAAACTTAAATTAAAATCGATGAATAAATATCTGCTGTGCGAAAGATACATAATTATCTTCGTAAAATTATCCGGAAGCTTCTCTTTACGAAAGTCAATGTCAGCCTCAAATATCAGACTTGTAATGTTGAGAGAGTTGAAAATATAAGCTTCTGCGAAGTTTGTGGAGAAATAGACTTGCAATATCGCATTACAAATTCGATAATAACGTGTTTTTACGGCTTCAGTTTAGATCAATGAAGAAACCTGATAACGAAAACCAACCTTGTCCAATCTAAATATATATCAACTAGTTACGTGCGATATAAAGAATTGGATTGTTTGCAAAAGCTAATTTGTTACGTGCAAACACGCTATTGCTTGTCTTATATTTAATCTTGAGATTTAATTGTGAAATATGGAATAACCGATAAAAAAAAATATAAATATAAATATATTTGTTATAAATAATATCTTTCATCACGCAGTTAAAAATTATTAAAAAATAATTATATACAAACGATTTTTATTGGAAGCATGAAAACTTTAAATAAGCATTAATCAAATTCTTAACTAATTACTTTTATATATATTCTATTTTTATTAATATATAATATGTTTAAAATTAACTTCGACCTATATTTAAAATTTAAAATAAATACATGTTTTTAAAAAATTCAATACGTGAAGAGCTAGAGCTAGGATACGCTTTATTCGATCTTAAGATAACGAAATTTTAAAGAAATTCAGTGCAAGAAATAAATTTTATGTTACGAACAGAAAATCAATATCAGATTAAAGAGATTACTGACTGAGATTGGCTTCTTCTATTTTGACGCGTCCATATATCATTATTTATTTCGCGGATTGTCATTCAATTAAGTTAAAAATATATTGGTTGTGCCATTTTGCAAAAATATGCAAATCGAGGTCACAATATACATATATATGTATATAAAAAAAATATATATATATATATATATTAACAGATATATGATTAATATATAATATTAATAATAATAATAAATGTTAGTATGTAACAAATAATGTTAATAATACTAGTATGATTAATAATATTAATATTAATTGCGAAATAGAAATAACGTTAATAAACGAAATGTTGAAAAATAATTAATCATTTCACAAGGATTATGACATTTTCTCTATATTTTTTATTAAACTGAATTTTTTACCTTTTTTTTAAATATAACATAAATTGCAGCTTTATATGTAATTTTATTATGGAACCATTGTTCTCAAAGAGATGAATTTTGTGTAAAATTTTAAATATATATGATAAATATATATAATATAGAGAATTATATAAAATACCTGTTATTGTAACCGAATCATATTAAAGCTTTATTTATAAGTAGAATTAGATCAAACGCAAAAGATATCATTAAAAAGACGAGGTGCAGATTTCATAATAAATTTAATCGGTCATATAGCACAATGTGTATCGCGATTGTACTTGGTAGTCCATTAATGTTACCTCCGGTACATGACATTCTGTAATTAGGTCATCGCTTGTACTTACATTGTTATGTATGAGCGTTTTAGGCGCTCGATACGATAAGAGCGGAACTCATTATGTGGCAAAAAACTTTTCTCTTAAAGAAGAATAAATATTTCTTCTGCGCATTAATATTTCTAACCCAAAATAATAAAAATATTTTTGCGAAAAGAAAATTATATTACAAAATATTCATTATATGTTAAATATAATCGATAATATAAGTGATAACAATGTTTCGATAAAAATTGATAATAAATTCAAGATAAAGCAATATGGAAAAACTACTATAAAAAAATCACAAAAAGATAATCATGAAATAGAATTTATTCTATAAATATTTTCGTATATTATTGTTAATAGATTATGTAACGTAAATTAGAATGAGCTCCTGTCGATATGAGCTCGAAATTAAATTTGGTTACATTATTGGCACATTTATTGTTAATGTTTCTTTTCACAATGCAAACATGATAATCTACATGATGTCAAATTTATATTATTATCGCAATCGAAATCTTCAATATTACGTAACAAAAATGAAATAAGGTATAAATAAATGATTTATTTCCCCTGGATCCCGCGCGCGAACGTAATATTAATACACGACAAACCCCAAGAGTATCTACCTAATTTGGTTTTCCTTAGACGATAGAATCTATTTTCCAGAATAACACAACTGAATACCATTTACGTCACTGTATTATATCGTCTGTAACATTTTTAACATTTCTTATTTTATCAAGTAAATAATATATTGTAAGGAATAAAAAAAAATATGATAACTTATATAGAAACGATATTCTTCAGTCATTAGGACATGTTCTCGATGGAAAATAAGTACAACTTTAATTGCTATAATAAAATTACATTATCGAGTCTCGATATTCGACCATGTATACCGAATACCGGCAAGCTATTAACGTTCAAATATTACGAAATTATGCGTGAATGTTCGTGCCTGCCGATCAGTATGAAACCATGCGAGCTCGCGTTTAACCGGACAATACAAGAGGCAACTAAGTGATACGTGCGGAAACCCGAAATCGGAAACACATTCCTGCTTTGCGAGGAAGCGAAATCATATCGAAGTTCGCGTCTTACCTTGCGTGCTGCCGTTGGGCTGTCCGGCCTGCTGCGGTATCCCGGGATAGAGGGGCGAGGGATGGGGCGACGGTTGATTGTTGCTGGGCGGTCCTGCAGCAGAATGCGGGTTGGCAGTCGTCGGGGTCGGTGTAGCTGAAGGTACCGCTTGTTGGGATTGCTGCACGTTAACGGCGGACGTAGGTGTTGCCGCGGGGGTGCCATCGCCACCCCCGATGCCACCCGTCACGATACCACCGGATGGTTGTTGCTGCTGCTGCTGCTGCAGTGGCGGCAGCTGTTGCTGCTGCTGCTGCGGCCCTTGCTGCGGCGTCGGCGGTTTTTGCACGTCCGTCGACTCATTTATCGTTTCTACAACGAGAGAAGGTTCGATCTTGAATATTAATTCATTCGGATAGACGAGGTTCTTGAGCGGAACATCGTTTTTAGGAATGCTGGCGGGCACTCGAGCATAATTAATTCGCAAACGTCCAGGAACGAATCAATTTCCAAAGCAATTAGAAATTTGCATGGCAAATTTCTTTACATATTTAGGATGAAAAAGCAAAGACGCTAAGCTTTATTAATCAGTGCCTAAAACATGTTTGAAATTTTATTCTTCGATAAGGGTGTTGGTTGCGAGATAAGATATTAAAAAAACGGAATACATATGCAAAGCATACAAAGGATAGATGGATCGGATTTATAGAAGGATTGAATTTAATTCAACGTAGGAGAATCTGGACATCGACCTAGATAGAATTTCAAAGGTCAAGAGATTCTCGGTGTAGTCGAAATTTTACTCCATGTTAGAATTTGAAAACAAGAAATCAGTGACTAAAGCGTAACGACAATTGTTAGCAACAATTATGGATGTTAGTCGTGTTGCGTTAATTCGATTCACCGCAAAAAGGATTACGATATATTAGTTTGTTATACACATAGTAAAGGAAAACATATAAATCCAGCATAATCTACCGCTCTTATAATTTTAAAACTTTATCAATTTTAGTTTCAATAAAAAATAAATATTAAAATCTATATTATATGTACTAAATATTGAAATCTATATTATATGGATAATATATATATATATATATATATATATATATATATATGTATAAATTTTTTTATATGAAAATAATACATATTTGAAAATATAAAAGTAACAATGTATAGAAGAAAAAAAAAACAATAAAAATAAAACAAAAAAAATATATGTATATATATCTTAGCAAAATTTTTATATTTATACTTATTAATGAAACAAATAATTAATTAAATAAAATACATATTTATATATAAAAAATTTTTCGTATTAATATTTCGAAACATTGATATTTGATGCAGATATATGTCGAGTGATAATGAGATGTTTCCATATATCACACTGACATTTGATATCGTTGGTATTTTTCATTTCTACACGATATTTTTCATTAAATTTTTCTTCGCTTAAATCCTTGTTTTCCCAAGTTTTCATCGATTTTACGGTTAATTTCAATAAATGTATCTCTCTCGTAGTAACCATCAGGATGACGTACGTTGATAAATAGTTTTACGTTATTACTGCCAACAAGTTTCGCAACTTTTCACGATAATCTGACGAAACCAAGCGAGATACTTTAATTACAAAGGGTAAAAGATAGATGCTGCGCGCTCTTTTTTATCTTTCTCTCTCTCTCCCTCGCAAAATTTGCTTCATAAAGTTTGGATTGTTCGGATAAGGATATGACTAATGACGGAATAGTTTCGGAATCAATAGAACTCAAGGTTTCCTTAACGAGGGATATAACTATTGTTATGTGTCAAGTACCGAGGAAACACGTTTGTTAATCACTCGAGAAATTTCACAGTCCTTGAACGGCGAGAAGAATTAAAGAAGCGTTTTGAAATCTGCTTTCTCGACGCTAATTAGTCCTGTCTCTTCGAACATTGTTTGCAAAATAGATACTTATAAAATACTTACTTTAATTTTCTATCAGAATTGGAAATATTTCTCAAAACTTTATGTAAATTAATCACTGTGTCACAAATATGCGCGTTTTTAAAAAAATATAATCTCGTCAATATTAAACAACTAGCTCCACGTCGAACGAAACACGAAACAACTCGGAACTTCTCGCACAACGTCGATAAGAAAGATCGCACTGTTATCGTATCGCGATAACGCCAACGAATACACGCTACTATTTATGTCGCGACAATGATAAGAAATTATTATTTTAAGAAACATAACTCTCGGACTTTGAAATCGGCTTGGCAATTAATCGCGTCATTTTGACGCGACATAATTAGTCGCGACTGCGGAAATTGAGTTCACGTCTATCATCGTAACGACTGCAAAACGCAATTACGATCTTATACCGGGTGGCAAGTTGTCGACACCCTGTGCAGTCTGTTTCTCGTTTCCTGTCCAGTCTATCGAAAGGGCGGATGCTGTTTTTGACGCGCCAGATAAACGGAAATGCCTGTCTGCTGCGCGTGCAGCAAATTTCAATATTCGCAAATTTTCAAGTTTCATGCAATGAGAAAAATGATCAAAAAAAAAGATGATAAAAAATGATAGAACTTAAGGTACATTTAGAAAGCAAAATTGTTATGGAAAACACGATTTATCTAAAAATAATTTGTATTAAGAAAATTCCCAGTTAAATCTACGAAAGACTGATATGAAAAATCGAAAAATAAAATAAGTTATAGTAGGCAATAAATTATTATATTTATATAAAGAAAAGAGGCTCACCATTTTCAGGAAACGATGTCGATCGTATCACGGGCAGCAATATCCCTTTCTGCACCAACTCATCTCTGCTGGCACGTACCGAGATTTTTCTCTCGAGCGCTATTAACAAAAGTAAAGAGAACGAATGCGAACGTTATTATACGTCTGTTTGCTCTGTTATCTGTTTGAATGGCATGATTATTTTCGCAATATGATATCGGATGCGATAAATGTTTAAAACGGCAACGTGCAATTCTAGAAGAGACGATTAAAATGTTTTGAATTAATGTGCATTCCGTCGTGTTTAAATTTTATTTAAACGTGTATTAAAGTAAAATAACATTTATTGTTTTAAAACGCAGACATATTTTCTGTGACATAATAATGTCAAATATAAAAGAAATACGACGCTATAATTCATTGTTAAATTCTCTCTATTACAGTATACGCTGCCGATTTAAGTACCATTTCAACTGCAAACGTTAAATTAATTTTACGTTAAATTATTTGTACTGTAAGCACACTTGTACTCACATAACGAAGCGGCTTCAAATTTATCCGATTTCTTTTTCCGCTTCCATTTCCAGGGTTTGAAGAGTCTACCGAGTGCCGAAAATTTACTTTTTCTCTCCAAAGGCGGCGTCCTCGCTCCCGACCCCAAACTGTTTGTCCGCAAAGCAGCACCATTTTGTTTTTTTGCTGCAACAAAAAAAAGTTTACGTTAATATAAAGTGTACTTTTCTGTACAGAAATACTCGATTCACGTATGAATCATCGTAATAGAACAAATTGAATTTTTCACATTATGCCATTTAGTCATTTAGCCAAAATATTAATAAAAAAGCCCTTTTATATCATATGTCACTTTTACATTAAAAATAACATTAAAAATAATAATTATTTTCACAAAGTCATGATATTAAAATTATTAATTCTGTGCAACAAGTATATGTTCGAGAATGGATATTTAAATAAGTGTAAATTTGCAAATTGATAATTATTTGCACGTGGTACAAACTAATCTTATCCACGTGATGCAAGAGTATCAACCTGGGATATGTTATCTAGATTTTCCGTTTTCTCAATAGTACGTAGGTGGCCTGTGTTTCCACGTTTACCGACAAGGGATGCTAGGTTTCAACCCTTTTATCGGCGTCTGTAAGGATGGAAACGAATAAACGACCATTGATCCAGTAGTTTATTCAATATGAAAAATCATGATTCTTTTTCAAATCTATACTACATATTTTACATATTACAGTTCAGAAATTAAAACACACTTCTTCAAGTTTAATTAAAAAATACTTCTTTAAAATAAAAAAATGTTATCAATCGATAGAAGCGAGGATAGGAGCTCGAGTGATAACGTTGTTTATAAACAAATAGAGATGTATTTTTTCGCAAAAGCTACAATTTCGCCGCAAATGATATATAAAATTATCTAAATTAAAAGAAAAATCATTATAATCTTTTGCATTTTATAATTTTTTGCACTCTATTCAAATATTCGGTTATAATTTTTATTGCAAATGAAAGATTGATATTAAATTGGCAAAACGCACATTTATTAAATATAACAAATATTTTTATGTAACATTATATTTACACACTATTCAACAATTGCATATTTTTACAACGCGTGAAGTAGAATAAATCAACATATAAAAAGTTTCATAGAAACATATTTTTTCAGGTGCTAAATCGTGTCTAACACTTCCGCTCAATTTTTATGCAAATTTTTTCGATGATAAAAAATGCAATCTCCCATTTTCATCTCTCTTTCGCAACAGAATTAAATTTTCATAACGATGCACAAATTGTACTGTCAAAATAAATGTTAGCAAAACGGTAATATAATAATATACGACAAAAGCATTGTGTGAATAAAACACATTTTTAAGTATAACACTCACGTTATAAATAATCTGATTACTGAATACACAATGATTTTATATAATACAATAATACGCTTTTGTTCTTTTCAAATATATTGATTAATATACGAGAATTTATATAAAGAAATGAATAGATTTAAAATTATTTAAATCAAAGTTTTAACAAAGATTAAATAATTTTATGTATTAATTTATATTTCAGTAATAAACAAAAGTAATCAAATATTATTAAAATATTTTTGAATATAATACTTCAATCCGTACAAATCCTTATACAAGAAAAAAACATTTTTTATTTCACTTTTTATCCATCTTCTTTCTATTTTCCAGTTGGTTTTATTGCCAGACAGCAGCACAACTCATATCAACATAAAATCAATACTCGACAACACGGCACCCCATAGATAATTTAGCGAATTTTTCATCGCGTTGTTCCGTAACGTTTATCCAATCACGCCGAAGCAGAAAGCGAAATGTGTCATAGCAATTTTAGCCGACAGAAAGTAAAAACAAGAGATATATTGATGCCAAAATCCATTGCAAACTAATCACTCGCGTCAAACGTACGTTTGTAAAATCAATATTGCAACAAATAATCAGATGTTAATGAAAACAAATAAATACCGGTATTTCATATCCACGAGGGATGTATCGAATATTAGGAAAAATTTATAAGACAAATAACAGTCGAAATTTAACAACATTGTCAAAAGTTTATGTAAGCTTACGTAATAATTATGTAAGCAAAATTCTTAAAAGCAATATTTTTATTTATAGATAAACGTGACCAAGATAAATTGAATTCACGTTTTGACAATGATCCTTTACTATTATAATAAAAACAAAACTCGTGCAAAAAATGAACAAATACATTTAATTAAAAATAAGATAAAATTAACCGAGTAAAACTAAATTCTATATTTAGAAGCAAGGCATTCGTCTTGCTTTCGACGATATCCTTATCGCACTATGGTCGAGGAAAGAGTCGGTTTTAAAAAGACCGTTCTCTGAATACGCCCTTTCAACCTGCGCTTATCGGCCATCTACTATCTTCCTCTGTTTGCAGCGCCCTTAGTACATAATACAGTAGTTACTGCCCTCTTGCGTCTCGAGAGACGCTTTTCCGCACGAGCACAATCGTTGCAGCAAACAGGAAAAACTGTAATACATATAGTAATCTGTGCAATTTATCAAATAAAAAATCAAAACACAATCGCATATTGCAAGAAAAATCTGATACGTTTCGAATAATTCAATTCTAATAAAAATTGTAGAAACTAATTAATAAAAATCTGTTATTTTAATAAACGCTGATGAAATATTCCAACATATTAAAAAAAAATATTTGCAACGATTGCTTTACTTATTTATAAGCTATGAAAAAATGGATTTAATTAAGAAAAATTATTTTCCACCCAAATAATTAGTATTTTACTCATATCCGAATATTAGTATTGCCGAAAAAATGTCAATAAAATCTACTTTAAAATTTACTTCGTAAAGAAAATATCTAGACTATCGCAAAGGAAAAGAGAAATTCTCTCATAAGCGCAGCCATAAACAACCCATGTTGCCCTTGCCCGCGTCGTCACCCATCTTACACGATGCATAATGCAAAAGCCCCGCGTATAACTCGAGAAAAAGTGCGACGAGGGTGAAATATGACGGAAGAAAAGTGCGTCGTCCACGGTTGAACGCTGTCGAACGGCGATTCTGAGAAACACCCCCGTGGGGAATAATGGCCGATAACGTGCGGTAGGGCAGTTTTGCGGGTGTAAGGTAGAAGCGGCCCATTACGGCAGCCTTAAGCACCCCTTCGGGATTCTTGGAACATTCTTGAGGGAGGGCAAATCGTTCTTTTGAAGAGAGCGACTTTCGGAGTGCGACATGGAACAAATCTAACTTAATTATTCATCGAATCATTAATTCTTCCGCGATAGTCGAGAAGTTATATTAAAATAAACATCGCAGCTAAAGAGTAAGTCTACGATATGACAATGCGTGATAAAGTAATTTGGAGAAATGCGTGCTTGATTATTATTAATAAAATCAATTCGAAAAAAACGAGCACAATAATTGCGACAAAATTTTTTAATACATACGTGAGAAATACAAAGTAGATTAGAAAATAAATTAAAATATAGTTTCATAATCTCAAACGCATTGCTTATTTTTTATGTCAAAGTTACTGTAAAAAAGTTAAATGCTATTTTAGTTACATTTTTGATCTGACATTCTAGTAATTTATGATAATGATTGCACTTCCCTAAATCAGATAGACAAAATTCTATTCTTTAAGTGAAACACGTGCAATAAGTTCTGCTTTATCTCCCGCAAGGACTTTCCCATTTATCTCACGAAAGGAAGAGAAAGAGTATATCGGCTTCGATGCTAAAGTGGAATAATTGACGCCACAAAACACTTCCGCTGTTCCTGGAGGCCTATTCACGCGTGACGAAAACCGATCGAGAGTTATTGCACTACATCTGCAGACAATAGCAATATTAACGCAATAGACCGTATTCACCATTGTTCGAAAATGTGTAACATCTTAGACGAAAATTATACTCTCGCTAACAATAAGAGGAAAGATATAAATCGATCTTGATGCAATCTTCTAATTCACGTAATTATGTTATTAGCAATGTATTGTATAATTAAAATATATAATGAAAGAAAAAGGAACGCACAAATTGCAGCGACAAAAAATTATTAAATTATCATGTCAATAAAAATTAGAATAAAATTTAAATTACGTAAATTATATAATATTTCATTAATTACTAAGTTTGCATTATAATTAAAAATTAAACTCTGCCTTTAAATGAAGTTTTAATAGCTTATAATAACGAATAAATAATTGGATAACTCTCATTTAAGTTAATTCTCATTACAAAATGACTGCAAGTTAATCCAATTAATCTCAAGGAGAAAGTGCATTAAAAAAAAGTTAATATCATTGGAATATCGTTGATAATTTATTATCATTGATAATAAATTAGTCGCAAAATTATTGTAAACAAAAGTGACTGACATGTCCATAACAGATTTTATAACTTCCAATTAGAATGCAATAAAGCTTCTAGTTAATGCGCATATAAATTAAGACAATGAATAGATGCTTATTTAATCAGAGATTAATAATAAAAATTGTATAAAAAGGATTTAACGAAAACTCTCTACATAAATTGATATTTACTAACTTGGAGTTTCAATGACCGATAATTACTAGTTATCGCGTAAATCATTAATTGTGCATAAAATACATATTAAATATTATTGAACAAAATCATAATAATTTCAATAAGCGAGTTAATCGACCTAATTTACAATCGAGAAATTGGAATAATATTATAAAAATCAATTAATATTAAATATATAATTAATATTATTTATAAAAAATATACAAATAATTCTACAAAAATTATATATTGAATTATATATTAAAGGGTTTATATTCCACCAATTCTCCTTTTTATAATAATTAAGACCTATAAAAGAGATTGTAAAAAAAATTTACAATTATAGAGACATTAGGAATATGGATAATGATATCATTATTTTAAAATTATATTATACTTATTCATGCTTTATACTTTATCATTAATTATACAATTTACGGGACACATCATATCATGCGTGTTATAATTTATGGATCAAGTTAATGCCGGTATAAAGCCGACTATGTCCAGAAAATATGTGGATTCAGCCATAATCGGCTGCCTTTCATCATGATAAAGTAGATAAAAGACGCGAGCTTGCCTCTTACTTGGCAAACATCAATAGCGATTCTTCCAGATGAGT